ATATCTATACTCTGTCAAACAATATTTCCCTGCATTTATAATAAAAAAATGCACTTTTTTCATTAACCGAATGACTCAACCCTGAACTGCTCCAGGGCCCTAATAAATGGCTAACCCTGTGCTCTGACCTCAATCTCTGCTTTCATCTGTATCTAATAGTAGACCAAGGTTTTCACAAATCCAATCAAATTGGGGGTCTTTGGGTTGCTTTATGTACTTTTTATATGTACAAATGTGTACATACTTGTAGTTTGTGCTAGTAAAGGTATCCTAATCATTTTTTGCACTACCATGGTCCACGTGTTTACTACTCAACCTTGGGCCGAGTCAACTTTGTGGGACGCACCTGCTCCTGGTGAACTCGCTGTCTAGGGTGGAGCCTCAAGTGCCCTGGCTGTTAAATTCCTCCAGACCTTCCATGGTGCCTACAGTTTGGAATAGGTTTTAGCTTATCTGAATTATTTATCCGGTGTCCCTGGGTATGTTCCTGCCTGTGCTGCAGACTTCCTCAAGCCCTCGCTCTAAGGGCCAGTGTAATCTCATTGATTCTTTTATTTCACGGCACCCCGGCCGCGTCGTGTGGCTCTAAAAACACCGCGGCCCGCTCCAGATAAGCCGAAGCTGTCGGAACCATTCTCGACGTGCCCAGACTGTCGGTGAAGCTCCCGATCTCTGTGAAGCAGTCTTGGGCGGTGGGGTTGCCAGGTGGGGCCCACGGGGTTGCCAGGTTGGGGGGGCCCAGGGGCTTGGCCGTCCCTTCGAATCGGTCGCCTTTCCCGACGGCGCCGGAGCCAAACCGCGAGCATCTGGCGGACGGCTGACAGGCTTCAACCAGAGATCTGCCCGTCCAAGTGAAACCGAGAAGGTAGACGGCTTCGGCAGATAAATCCTGCTAGAAGACCCCCCCCCCCCCCCACCTTTTTTTTTTCTTTTTTGCTCCAGGGAGGCAGTGACACAGAAATGCCAACAACAAAAGGGGGGGCCGCCGACCGCAGATGCCCATGCCGCTTAGGAGGCTGGGCGACTTGTTGGGGTTGCCAGGCTCTTTTTCGAGTGTTTATCTCCTAATAAGAATTAGTGCCTCATAGCGGTGTGGAAGTAGGCCACTACACAGCGGTTCATTTGTTTTTTGAATTGAAAGTAGGCCGTGTTTGCAGAGGTACTGTGGTCTCCTCTGGCTCTCGGATCCCTGAAATGAGAGCCCATCTTGCGGGGTTTTATTTTAGTTCTTATAGACACAAATCTGAGAATTCATTTCTTGGATATTTTGGGATATTTAAAGGGCCGACTGCACCTCGAGTCCTGGGCGAACGTCGCTTAGGATGTGCGCGGCTCCGGCGCCTCTCCCCGCCGTAAACCGCAAAACGAATCTCATTTTTCGCCTGGCAGGGGTGTCTATCTTTGGAGTCGCATCACAAATTGAACGACCCGAGGGGTAGTTCTTCTGTTCGAGACATCAGTGGTGCCGTTTCCATTGAACGCGAGTGGAATCGTCTGAACAAAGCGATTTGTGCTTTGGGTCCGGTCCGCTTTTCATTGTTGTTCGATCTCTTATCTTTTGCCTCTGAAGGCAGCCCTAATCCGTGGGGCCCCTTCTGTGAGAGAGCAGAGCCCACAGCACCCCTATATTTGAGCAGTGTGGCCCTTGGCGTCGTCTCCAACTGGCTGCTTGTCGATCTAATTGGTCCGGTACTGATCCGGTATTCTTTTGAGGGTTTTTTTTTTTCTTTTTTTTGTCAGCCCCATGTCACCTTCATTCCACTTGTGAAATTCCGTCTAACTCTTCATGCCATTTTTAATACTGTTCCTGCTGGTGATGATGCACACTCTAGTCTGCAGTGGTCCCAGCTGGTCTTCAGCCATCTTTAGCGTTTTAATCAGCCTGTAATAGTTTAACAGGCATGTTTTTCATCTGCGGGTAATAAAAAGGAATATCTGCATCGGGCGATCTGATAGCACTGGGACCATAATTAAATATATTCGATTTTGACCATTACGGGTGCCTTGAACGTGTACCTGGCATGGGGGGGACTCTTCTAGATCATTGATGTAAAAACACTTTGAATTATTACCTGAATAAATCAAGCCATTTAGGTCTGGTTGCTCATTTATAATCCTTTGTTTACTTGTGTGTTACACTTAAGATTGCCCACCGCTGCTGTAGTTATCCCGAAAGGTTTTTGCTGCAGCTCCATAATTTAGATTAGAGGACTGATTGGCTGAAGAGTCCTCACACCTGGGTTCGAACAGCTGACCTGCAGGTTATCCCAAAAACCTGCACACACACCGGCCCCTTGTGGATAAGATTGCCCACCCCTGAAATAGTCTTCTGCATCAATACAACATGGGACTAACAGAGTGTTGTGACCTGATCAACTGAGAACCATCTGTACTTAATGGGTATTTGCTTCTTCAGAAGTGCTGTGGAGTTTGCATGTGTTCATCTACACCCATAACCTGTCAAGCTGCCTCCTGGTTAGCGTGGATATTCCCATTAATGACGCAGGGCAAGCCTCTCTGTGGTGGTGGTTAATGAAAGGGGAGAAGAGGGATGAAACCTTTTCTTTAATGAAAGTGGCAGTTTCCACATGTATGTACACCGTCACTGTCTGATGGGGAAAATACGCATCTTTGAAAATTTGATTTCATGAGCGCGAAACACATTTTCTCAAACTACTTTACAAAATAAACCTAAAACAATGTATTGCGTTACCCCTGGCAGATAAGTTTATATCTTTACCCAGCAGTCAGTGAATGGCTTAATGTTTTACAAGGACATTCATGGTTTGACTGTCAACATGCAAACTAAACTCGATTAATGTTGCCTAACTAGTTCCAAATGTTGTTATAAAGTTATCGTACAAACAGCCATATGAAAATAAACATGTTGACCAGTATAAAACATAAATACTAGTTAAATAGATGATTTCATAAAGCCATCTTATGATTGATCATTAGATTGGATGCATTCCAACTATAGTAAGTCAACGGTTAAAAATTAGACGTATATGGCTTTTGTCGGACAGCACCCTTATGCTAGCTGTAGGGCGTCTATGTGTGAAATGCAGACTGAAATGAACGTTTGCTGAGTGACCACCTTTTATGTTTTATGCTATTTTGTTTGTTCGAATCCCTTTTTCTTGGGATAGACACACATCCTATTTATTGGTAAGATGTGAGGCTGGCGAGAGAATCTTTTTCATCGTTTGACACCATGTTAAGTCAGTCTCAGTCTCAGCCTGGCCTTTGTGGTGAGGTGTTTTTTTTTTTTTTTCTTCTCCTCCAGTTCTCATCCCTGAAGTTTGGTTCTTCTCAAAAGAACCATCTCTGAGAAGCTCAGGCTGAAGATCTAATTTTACACAGGATCTCACATCTGTGATGACTTCAGAAAGCTTATGCAATGCTTTGCCCAAGATGCACTTGGTGCCGTTGGAAAAGTTACAACCTGGTTTGGCATCTTTGTGAAATAGGATTTAACATGAATTAACATCTGTAACCGGAAGGGTTTTTATTATTTTTTTTTTGCCTCGAATTTTATTTAGTTATGGTTGTAGAAGTTCCATTTTAGAACCATTCACTGCAGCGTGGACCAATCAGGCTTAGCCAGGTTGTTTTAATGTTATATAAGCATCGAGCATATAAGCATGGCTTTTGCACTGGTCCAAATCGCCCGATTTAAAACCCAGGAGTCGTACTCTGGTGTTGCTCTGTGCATTTTAGTGTCTATCTGGGTACCTGTTCTGTTGTACTGTCCCAAAAGAGGGCAGGCATGTCGAATGCCAACGGTGTTCAAAAATAATCCCATTATGTAATGCAGGTGGTAGGTTCTCTGTGCAGAGCCCTAAAAGTTGACTCTTGTCAGCGCAGTTTAAAATGGTCGCAAGTCTGACCAAAGCAGTATTAACGATGCAGTAGGTCCCTACTTGCATACGTGCAGTCAATCTGCCCTACAGATGTGTGCCACGCACCTGGTTAAGCGTAACCATTTGAAAGATAATGGTATATTTGGTCTAAGAAGGAAGCGTTTCAAAGGTTATCAAATTCCTGGCTCCTATTCAACTGTTCGAAGTTGGTTTCCCAGGTTAGTTCTTTGGTCTAATGCCTTTTTAGCCAGTGATTTCATCTGAGTCATGGTGCGTAGATGTTTGCTTCGCTGTTCAGCTGTTCTCTCCATACCCAAAGGTTATGTTGGAACGGAACCCAGTTTACATAGCATGACTGTGGGTATCAGGTTACCTACCTGGCTGAATTTAACGTTCTGGTAAAGATCTTGTACATATGCTTTATAATACCAGAGTGTGAGGGGTAATGCGACACATTGGACGACATCCCAGCCGACACTCACAGGACCGAAATCACACATTGATTCGAAAGTGTTTGCTAACTAGAACAGGAAAAGAGTGTGGTGTGAGTGTTTTCTATGGCGTGTGCGTGCTGTGGTATACAGCAGGGATTGTATTTTGAGTCGCTAGCTGCTGTGATTTAAAAAAAAAAAAAAAAAAAAATTTTTATAAGATTAATTTTATCCTGTTTTAAAGCAGTTTGATCATACAATCTATTCGTGTGAATTAGCGATCTTCAGCGGCTCGCCGTTCCATCCCGGCGAGCCTCGTCTTGCCTTATAATCACCTGCCTGCCTGCTTTTTATTCTTCCAGTCCAAACACTGTTTGTTTTTTCACTCCAAAAGATTTTTAAATCACTTGGGCGTTGCTGGTAAAAATTAGTTTCTGTGGGGGTGGAGGGGGGGGGGAATGTATTCCACAAAAGCCGGGTGACCTTATTCTTCTAAAGCTCACATTATTAATTTTATACAATTAAGGGCTGGGTTGCCATTGGACCCTGTAGCCCATAGGGGGCACTAACGTACACCCCTATCAGGCTTCTTGACCTAGAGTGACTGGTTTGCGTGGGTGATCTGTGCACAGGGAGTAAGGGAATGCTGACTCTGTGTTTCTTGTCAATCTAACATGCGGTGCTTTTTTCTGTGTCCATATTGCAGACTTCAACTAACATGGCAGTCAGACTGTGCGATGTGGCCTCTCTGCTTAGAAGTGGTTCGTGGGCAGCTGAGCCGTGGACTGGGGTCTGTGGGATTTCTTCTATTCCATCCCCCACCCCCACCCCCCTTTTGGATGTAAATACAGTCTTGTGTCTGGGCCACGTCAGACGCGCGATACTGCACGATTCCTTCAGCACGTAGAGTTTATCGCTCTGGTCTAACTGTAAATGTTGCCTCTGCCAGTTGAGGAATCAGTGTTCTTGTGGTCTAGCTACCGTAGTTAAAGAAGGATGCCTTTCTTCGTTCGAATCCAGCTTCGATGGGATTGTCTTGCCCAAACAGAAGTCATGGTTGCCTGTATGCCCCATTTTTTCTTTTCTTTTTTTTTTTTAAGTTTAGCAGACACTTTTATCAAAAGTGGCGTCCAGTTGGAAGCAGGGCGAGGCCGTCTCTGGGGCCCTTGGGGGGGGTTAAGGGCCTCGCTCAGGGGCCCAACTGAGGCACCAGTCTGCCAATCCTGGGATTTGAACCGGCAACCTTCCTATCATAGGCATAGCGTCTGAGCCCACTGGGGCACACCTTCCCGTACATCCCCAATTTTTAATGAGCTGGTCCGCTTCCTCTTCCCGAAATTCCCAGTTGCTGGTATTTAAAGCATACTACGGTTTGAGTTGGGCACAGACAAGTGACTATCGATCCAGTTTAAAAAGGGCGATTGCTGTGAGGTGGAAGGTCGCTTAAGGCCTCCATAAGGTGCCCCATAAAGTGTAAACTAAACCACATCATCGCCATTCTCATTTCCATGTGCTCCCCCAGGTCCCCATTATAGTCGGTCTCAGCGGTGTCATTCAGCCATAGCTTGGATATAACCCTAACTCTACAATTTCCTACTTTTTCTGCACAATTGGCATGAATCAGAGGGGAAAAATGGAAGCATTTTACAGTACATACTAGGCTTGCCATTGTGTACAGAAGACAGATTGTCCTGTTTTCAGCGATTTTAATAGAAATCATCAGACATTGCATATAATTTGTTGTATGAAAATGCGGTATGGCATTTACGTTGCGGTAAATGATTGAATTTCTGGAGGAAAATATGACCAGTGCTGTGGCGTTTTCATGGCCCTGGTACCTGGCAGTCTGTCAGCATGTGAATGTTTTAGATAATGTGCGCATATATACACAATTTTTTTTTTTTTACTGTTTTTGTAAACTGACTCCCTATATCACAACAAGGAAGTGAAGGCTAACACTTTTTGAACTAATTAATCATTTTGTAATGATGGCTACAACCTGCACATCCTTAACATGAAAGCCCGGTCAGTGATCGGAGTATTAATACTACAGACACGCTTCTGGTTGGCACTACCACTATACTCCGACAGCCTGGCAGAGGCTGTATGGCGGCTTCCATGCTCTCAACTGCATTTCAGTCCTGGCCTCCCCACCTTTCCTCTAGTGTAGCGTTGTAGTATATCAGTACGGTTTTGATTGTGCCAGATATTAAACTCGCTGGTGTAAAATCTTTAGATGGAAATCTGTGTTTGTGTGTGTTCGGGGGGGGTCATTTACATTACTCAGCGACGGTACCACACTTTCTTCAGCCATGAATAATACGCATGCATTGCCGTACCTTTAAGAAATACATACATGCATGTGAAATGCACTAAATGCACTAGTGCGCCTCCACATGCGACCTCAGTTATAAGACTATGTTGGGCAGGACCTGGATGGACGTCACCTGCACCTCCCTGAAATCTTGACGCAGACCTTAATGTGAAAGCCTGTGAATTGTGTGATTTACAGAAGAGCATCCTTTTTTTAACTATAATTGCTGGATGGGTCGGTGGATATTGAGTATTGACACCCCCCTCTTTTTCTTTTTAGCAGGTTATTGCTGCTATGGAAACGCAGCTGTCCAATGGGCAGACTTGTAACAACACGGCCAACGGTCCCACCACAGTGTCAAACAACTGCTCCTCCCCTGTAGAATCGGGAAACTTGGACGACAGTAAAACTAACCTGATAGTCAACTATTTGCCTCAGAATATGACCCAGGAGGAGCTGAAAAGCCTGTTTGGCAGCATTGGGGAAATCGAATCCTGTAAGTTAGTACGAGACAAAATAACAGGTAATGTATCCAAGTGCCATTTCTCTTATTTCTTGATGGATTGAGGTGTCTGTGAAAGACGTTGCTAGGTTCTGAGATATCCGTTACAGATCTGAAAGCTTGTAAAATGGGGTTTAGCCGTCGTGTGACTGCGGATCGGCAAAACCGCGTGTTGCCTTTGCGGTACCTGGCGCTAAGGTTTGGTGCTTTGGTGAAATCGTTAGGCTTTATGAAATGGCAGAGTGCATGGGTTTGATTCTCGTGTAGTTTCTTTGGGCCCTGGGATTAAGAGGGCTTAGCTTGGACATTTTTTCTTTCTCCTGTTTAATATTTCACTGAATGTTGTATTTTTTTAAGTTTTTTTTTGTTTTTCTCCATTTTCATTTTTAAGCAATTGATGCTTGTAGAAAGCCGAGGTTTCTCCTTTAGCTTAATTAATTTTTAAGGTTTGATGTATCTTTTACGTTACCGAAAGTCCCCGAGCCGCCTTTGGCGTCCCTTTTCATGCAGTGGTGTAAGTGTGTCTTCTGAGAACCCATGTTCCCCTGAGCTGAGCCTGAACGACACACTGTAATGTAAAAATGAAACGTTCCCCCGCCTCTGGAGCTCTCTGGCCCCTCCTACTGTTCGGCCTTATAACTGCAGTTCGGATGTCACTGCCAATGATTTATGTCCCGGAATGAAGTTTTTAACTACTAAACATCGCACTTAAATGGGTACAGTTGTCAGGTTTGGTCTTACCGCGTGCATGTGAAAGGTATCGTATGTCAGATTACCCGTAATTGTTGAAGTCAGTCTTCTGCAGACTGTCCTGCATATCCCCAGTCTATAAGAGTCGGTGTGAAGATATGATTTGTGAATTTGTGCCTGATTTAATCCATGTGGATTGGTTTGTTCAGCGGTTGGAGTATGTGTCCGCTGTATTGCCCAGAAGCGGGTGTGTGGCGGAGGAGAGCGTATCAGATGTTTGTTGGTTCTTGGCCTTGTTTTTCTGTTCTGGAGGGTGAGTGGTTTTAACCCGCTGATGGGGATGGCATGGGCGAGGGGCCAGCTGGCCGAGAGGCTCTCAGCAGCCCGTCACACCTGACCGGCTCCCTCCCGTAGCTCTGTGTCCGGTGCGTTTGCACGTCCGCGCGTTTGGGACGGACTTCCCGCCGTGATCTTCGACCCGGCCCGGAAAGTACTTCCCTGTCAAAGTGGAACTTCAACTGAAACTTTGCCCACTCCGGTCCCAGTAAGAGTCCCACTGGATCCAGTTACGTAAGCGGGAAAGGCGCATGACCAGAGTTCCTGAGTATTGGTATCGTCTGCTTGCTGGTGGCTCTGTTACACATGCTGGAACTGGCAGGGGGCGTGTACAGGGGTGAGGCCACTGGTACCCTGTCATTAGCTGAAAGCTGATTGGTCCAAGGAGTGCCGCTCTCCTGTCACTCAGTGCAAAATGTATAATTGACTAACCATAATTCCATAATTCATATACAGGGGATCAACATTATAGCCCCACATTTAAAAAAAATAAAAAAATCTATTCTCCCTCAGCAATCCCTGGTGATGTCAGAGGAGGTTCATCCAGCATCCTCTGGTTATTAATGACCTTGCAGAAAACTCCTGAGTTTGTGCTGGAGCTCGTTTTTAAGCTGGGGAACATTTTGTGAGCCCCCCCCCCCCCCATACACACACACACATCTCGATAAGATACGGAAGCAGCCTGCAAATGCCAGGGATTTTTCCGGAATGGCACATTCTGGAAGGCGAGACTGACGTTCAGCTCCCGGATTGCGGTCGCGGGGCAGCCTCGCCTTAAACCAGTTCTGCTCTATATTGCCGCTGGAGCTGAGGGCAAAGGGTCTGGCTTTCATCCCAGGGGTCTGCGATCCAGCCCCACTCCTCACCGAGTGTCATTTACTCTGCGGGAGATGCTTTTAGCTATTTCAGACCGTGATTATTCCGTTGATCAAACCTTTTTGCGAAGGGGGTTGTTTGTTTCTTGCTTTTTATACATTTTTGCGACCTATGTTGTGTATTAATCTGAAGGGCTACATTATTGCCAAATATACGTATGCTTAAACACAGGCAATATTCTTTATTTTGGATGGTGTTTAGATGATTTTCGGTGGCCTACTGACTCAAGGTTAATGAAACAATTACGATATTACCAAGGCCTGGTGCCATAGGAATGTGTGAACCTTTTTTTTTCTTTCTTTAGCATGTGTGTGGTTTTTAGATGCAGTTCCCAGTATTCTGGGTTCCTGGCTGCATTTTGAAAACCAGAGAACATCTGTTTTCACATGCTTGATGTTCTCCTTGGGACCTCACTAGTTTTCTGGAAGCTATTCCACATTTGCAGACGTGGCATCCTCTTAACACACAAAGCCTCATTCTGCTTTGTTAAGCAGTGTTCAAAATTAGACACCCCCCCACCCCCCCGGCATGCTGAACCTTGCAGGTATCACCTTCTGTGCAGGTTTGAAAGACTGCTTCTACAGCGCTTACTGCAGTGGTGTTGGGTTGAATCAATAACACGATGACCTGGTTCTTCTCTATTGAGTGGGTTTGGAATTCATGGACCTTCATATTTAGAACATGTTCTCTATTCCCCCTGTCGCAGGACAAAGCCTGGGTTATGGATTTGTGAATTACATGGACCCGAAGGATGCAGAAAAAGCCATTAACACATTAAATGGCTTGAGACTTCAGACCAAGACGATTAAGGTGAGACTCATGGAAACTAAAGGTGTTCTAAATGGCACCCCCTATAGGCTATATCTGGAACTGTGGTCCATGACCTGAGACATTTCTATTCCCTGTCAGAAGACAGAGCCTTTAAAGGTATTGCTTAGTTCCGTCATCGTTCAGCATTTAACAGACTGCGGCATACAGAGAAGGGGGGGGGGGGTAAGGAGCACACACGGATAGTGTGTTGCCGCATCCATCACATGACAAACCACCTCAGGGGTGAGAACCTGAGTGCAGCCATGTGGCAGGTGATACCTCAGCACCACACTAGTCCAAATGGACCAGTGTGAGGTTTTTTGCAGTGGCTGTAGTGCCAATCCTGCCACCAACCCCCAAGTTATTCCCTGTAAGTTGGAGGGCCTGCTTGCAGGGCTGGATGTACATTGTCATACCCAGGATGAAGCAATTGCAGGTTAAGGGCCTTGCTCAAGGACCCAATGGAGTAGAATTACTCTGGGCATTCATGGGATTTGAACCAGCAACCTTCCAGTTGCTGGCACAGATCCCTAGCCTCAGAGCCACCACTCTCGAAAGGTAGTCTAATTCAGTCATAATTTGAACAGGTTTTTAATGATTTGGGTGTTTAAATTCCGGAAGTTTTCCCTGTGAAAAACGATTCTTTCTCTTTACAAAGGACCACGGGGGGGGGGGGGGCAGTTTTTTCCTCCCAGTCGACAGTCGTGAAACCCAGTAAGGAAAAGACTGATTGTGTAGTGACACCACTGGTTTTACCTCTGCTGCTTCCTCTACCGTAATGATGTGGTCTGGGGGTGGCTGTCCCGTTCGGCGGTTTAATTAAAGCAAGTTAAATATCACGGATACTGTCCGTGGGGTGCTGAAAAGGTCAGCGTGAAGCCACCACGACACTATGATAAATCCGTCTGCGTTGTGTAGCTAGAACAGGCCGTGTCACTAATGGCCAGGAACCTATAGTGCTGTGTCCAAGATGGAATGTATAAATAAACTAATAGCTTGTATATCTTCACCAACAGTGCGATGGTAGTACGATGTGTGTATATATATGCTGGACAGTAATTTTAGCAACCATGTTAGCTGAACATTTTCACTGCTTACCTCTCTAATCAATAGGTATTGAAACTGTAGGAACATACCCTAGTGCAATGTCATGGTGAAGCTGAAGCATGCTTTGAACAGTTGTGAGATCCTTGTGGTGTATTTTTCGGGGGGGGGGGGAAAGGCTTCTTTCCCGGTAATTAGACGTGGCGCGGGGTCGTTGGAAGTGTGCGTTTCTCGTGCTTGAGCGTCCGCGTTAATTGCTTTTCAGGTTTCGTACGCCCGTCCGAGTTCTGCATCCATCAGAGATGCAAATCTGTACGTCAGCGGGCTGCCAAAAACCATGACTCAGAAAGAGCTAGAGCAGCTCTTCTCCCAGTATGGACGCATCATTACCTCCCGCATTCTGGTGGACCAAGTTACTGGTAAGAGTTTGGGGGCGGGGGGGGGATTTCTTTCCTGGAAGACTTGGTGTATTTCTCAATATGCAAACTCGACCCTACTTGTGTACCAATTTTACGTCGTCTTCCATTGCCGAAGACCAATTATAATACTCAAGATCAAAAGTAGGGGAGGATGCTAAAAATCCCCAGATGTTGGTCTTGCTCCACCCACATATCATGGATACATTGGTTGCATCCCGGGTAAATGAGAGCAATCCCATGATTCATTGCACCCCAAGTTTGTTCTTGGGAGGCAAGTTAGCCAGCCCGCTCTTGCCGAGACCACAAGTACGATCTTCTCGCTCTTGGTATTCTTGGAGGTTTGTCGGTAGAGTAGTAGGAGGGACGTTTATGTGGATTGCTACAGGGTGGGTCATTCAGCGAAGGCGCCTCTTGTCGTACGGCTGAGAAGCGTGCGGTCTGTTTTTAGCATGCGTCACTGAGCAGATCGCGCGCCGCGCCGCTGTCTCTGCCAGGTGTTTCCAGAGGCGTCGGATTCATCCGTTTCGACCGGAGGGCGGAAGCAGAGGAGGCCATCAAGGGCCTGAATGGCCAGAAGCCACCGGGGGCTACCGAACCCATAACGGTGAAGTTCGCCAACAACCCCAGCCAGAAGACTAGCCAGGCCCTGCTCTCCCAGCTGTACCAGTCCCCCAGTCGGAGGTACCCCGGACCCCTGGCACAACAGGCTCAGCGATTCCGGTAAACCCCATTTCCATGCATCGTAGTCCTGTGCTCGTGCCGTGACTTAATCTGGTCACTCCGGCGAGCCTGAATGTTGATATTCCAGTTTCTAAGTATAATATATCATGCAGTAAATTTATTGCTGCCATTCAGACATTTTTCAGTTTTGCTTATCCTATCCTTTAAGCAGTAAATATGGATATAGATTTCTGCTTGTAATGGTCCATCTTAACGTGAGACTTGAATTTTTAGGTTGGACAATCTTCTGAACATGGCTTATGGAGTAAAAAGGTAAATTTCTCCTTTATTTAGCCCTTAAATCTGTGGTTACTGCATACTGGAAATCCAACGCTGGTCTGGGTTTCTGGGGATGATCTGTAATGGTTTGTTTGTAATGGTAGTTGCTGGAATATGGAAGCTTCCTGTTGAACCGTTATGGGGATCGGTGGGGTGGGGGTTGGGGGCTGAAAAGTTTCCCTGGTAAGAATAACCTGGGCACAAGCGCATGACGCACACTCGGTGACAGGATGGTGCACCGGAACCTTCTCAGGGATTACTGGCGCGGGCGTATGTTACTGCTCAAAAAAATCTGGTGAGAAATGCAGATTTTTGTTTTTTTTTTTTTTGTAACATCCTGGCACTTTTATCTTCCAAAAAAAAAATTTACCTGTTCTCCCTTCAACCCCGAAATATGGTGCTCCGGAGGAATGTCCCCGCTGAAATGCTCCTGTTTAAATAGGACTGGGTGTGGTGATTCGGGGGGTCGAGTTGTCTTTTATAAGCTTGTCGGTGGCATGAGAATACACACTGCGTTCCCTGTCCCTGTGCTCCACCCACTCTTCAGTGCAAGGTGCTGAGCTTCCACACAGCTAGCGGGGGTCTTCGCGATTCTTCTCCTCCCTCCCTAGTGTAGCGTTTCTCAGCCTAGTCCTTGGGAACCACCAGACAGTCCCTCACAGCTCCTAGCCAAACAAGAACACACGGGAGTTTTACTTGCACAAAAATGTACTGAGGGCAGAATGAAAAATGATTGGTTCAGAGAGAACCAATAAGATCTTGGTCAGATGTCAGACCAATCAGATGTCTCCTCTAGCTGCTTGGACCCTCCTCCACAATCTAATTGATCTTCTCTGGACCAATCGTTTGTGTAAGTAAAACTGCTATGGGCCAATCAAGAACACCGAGTACCTGGTTACAGGTGTGTTGGGAACTTGGATGGACCCAAAGTGTGGACTGTCTGGTGGTCCAAGAGGACTAGGTTGAAGAACCCTGCTGTAATACTCACTACCCTCATCTAGCTTATGCTTTAAGGAGCCTTTTGTGTCTGACTCTGTCACCAGACATGGACTGTTGTTTTCTAGCAGGTTCTCTCCGATGGCCATTGATGGGGTCACCAGCCTGGCCGGCATCAATATCCCAGGCCACGCGGGGGCCGGCTGGTGCATCTTTGTTTACAACCTGGCCCCGGACGCGGACGAGAGCATCCTGTGGCAGATGTTCGGGCCGTTCGGCGCGGTGACCAACGTGAAGGTCATCCGCGACTTCAACACCAACAAGTGCAAGGGCTTCGGATTCGTCTCCATGACAAACTATGACGAGGCAGCCATGGCCATCGCCAGCCTTAACGGATACCGCCTCGGGGACAGAGTGCTGCAGGTCTCCTTTAAGACTAACAAAACGCACAAAGCTTGATGTCTTTGCAAAATGCTACGAGCGATAAAGGGGGGAATTTATACAGTAAAAGTCTCTTTGTATGTCATTTAAGTTAAAGAATCGATGTTTAGTGTCCAGTGTGTTCGTTTTTTTTTTTTTTTGTTTTGTTTTTTTTTTGAGTTGAGCAAATAGCAGGCTATTTATTTTTAACTTGTCATGTTGCTTTGAAATGTTTAAAGAAGGGACTTTCTTTTCTCTCGTCTTTTGTTTTTGGGTTCCCCCCCCCCACCTAAAAGTCCTTGTAAGACATATGCTGGCTTTTTTTTTTTTCCTCCTCTCCTTTGTCCGTTTGTCTTGGGTGCGTTTTGCCTCTGAGAAGTAGAGTGCTCAATCAGTACCGTTTAGCGTTTCTTTCTTTAACAGCTAACTGCTTTGTTGAGTTATTAGTTGGATTATCGGTTGGCCACATGTTGTTGCTTATTGTATGACTACAGGAGACATTTTTTCTTAAAGCAGTACCTTGCCAAAGAGCTAGGAACCTCTTTGATGTGGGTTTAAAGAAGCATCTATTTTTATAAAAAGAACAATTTGGAGAAACTTTTTACCGGACCTGGAACAAATATTTTGACATGGATACTTTGAGAAATATCTTCATATAACACATTGCAAGCTTTGGAACTTCACCAGGAACTTTACAGTGGTTGAAATTTCTGGAGAGCGTTATGATCTAAAAGGTATCTTTTGATCTTTCTATTGACATTCTAAAACTTATTGGATGTTGGTTAATTGGTGTCAGTTTAATTTCTGTGGGTCATCTTGGTTATTACGTGGCATGCAGCTCACACACGAATCGAACACAAGGCCAGTCTCTCCAGAAGCTCATATTATCAGCGGAGGGAAAATTAAAAAAAAAAAAAGAGGGAGAGAGAGAGGCTCGAGGGGTTTAAAAACAAATTCAGATCTTCCGATGGAATTCATAGAAGCTCAGTGTTGAATGACGTACTCTCTGTTGCGGTTTGTTTTCTATTTAAAAAGAAAAAAGTACAAAAAAGGTTTTTACTTGGTTTGAACAAGATGACAGCAGAAGAGACATTTTTGGAGGTTTAAAGAATTAAGTTTGAAGGGTTGTTGTTATTGACCTATGTAAATATGTCCTACTTAATATTTATTTCAGTAACTTTACAGGAGTGATTTTGTTTACTTTGAAGCTGTAAGTCTTGATTTATTCTGAATGTTGCCTAATTTTGGTTTCTTAGTTTACACTTGAGTTGACGTACTTGACTTGTCCAAAGGACTGGCGTATTTTTTTTTTTGTTTGTTTGTTATGGTCAGTGGGTTTTTTTTCCTCCTGCTATAATAAATAGATTTAATTTACATATAGATAATATATATGTGTATATAAGCTGCAGTTCTGAATATATGTTAATACATAGAGAAAATGCATAAAGCAATCATCTATGAAAGGTTACGCATATCGCTTTATTTACCGTAGGGGGGGCATCCAACATCACAGCTCCGAAAAGGACAACATGACGCACTCCTAATTTCACGCTCGACATATACACCAAGGAGCCCACCCCCCCCTACTCGATTCAGTCATTTCTTCTCGTTATTTGATTTTTAGCTACGGGAATTTAGTTTTGTACAAACAGGTTTTTTGCCAGTAAATTTCACCCCCCCCCCCCCCCCCCCCCCCGCCCCCTCCTCAGTTTGGAATCGTCACGACAGTGTCTCTCTACCATTCCTTCCCACAAAAGTCCTCGCAGACCTCATCGGCGCTGAAGGGGATATCTAGCTGGTCTTCCTGCTAGTCGGTCTCTTAATCTCTACTTATTTAAGGTTGTACAGTACGACTCTGTCAACAGCTGTTGTAATAGAGCATATCTTTTTAGTATTTAAAGGGATGTACGTGTTTACTTTGTGTTTGGATGCATTGTACTTTTTTTCATGTTCAGTTCACCAATAAATGAGTTGAAGGGAAATGAACGCAATGCTTGTCGTCATTTCCGCTTAAGCTGTAACTAGTTGGGCTGCCTTTGATATACATGACTTGAGTCGCGGACCTTCCTGGGATATTTAAAGTAAAACTCTACTGCTGCTGTACAGCTGCCCTTTTTTTGGCTTGTTTAGTATTCGATCCAGTGTTTTACTAGAAATATTGCAGTGGTGTAGTGTCAGGCTCCCATCAAACAATCACTTCTAAACAGTCGGAAATCGGAAGCCCCATGTGAGTCGCTTGTAAGCTACCGTAACGTGCTCTCTCTGCCCGATTGACACATTTCAGATTTTTCGGCCTACGGAAGGCCGCCAATTGTGGGTTACACAATTCTTGTACAGTAGCAGTAAAATGGTGTGTCGGGTAGCATGAGTTATTTGGGTGGTATTTCTTAATTTGTGGTGGTGTGAAATGTCAGTCAAAGCCATTCTGAGTGGCTGTAATGTGACTGCTCACTTCGGCGCACTGCCAGTTAATACTGTACGGAAACCTTCACGATATACTTCCCCATGAACTGACATAACCGCTACCTTGTGCCTCCGGTAGAAACGGTCTCGGAGAGGGATATTGTGGGCTTCCGAGGGGGGATCAAGCTTCAGGCTGTAACGATGGGGAAAAACTCGTATATTGTGTGTTTTCGGCCTCCGAAGATAGAAAAGAGAAAGGTCATTATGGTCGGGGCTTATGTCTGCTGTATAATTTACTTTGAGCAAATGGCGCCAGTCGCTGATCGGTACCTGTTTCTGATTGGTCGAGCCAGCCAGTGACTGACAGCACACGGTAATCCCGCCCCTCACCAGCATGTGTGTGAGCTCAGATCATCTACACCCACTATAGCTATCTATTGCCGCCGGGAAGCCGTAAAGGCTCCCGGTGACATCCGGGGGTGCAGCACAAAGTTATATCACTGCCTTGCTGACACCGTTCATCCAGAACAACTTACAAATTGGGTCGTTATTCCAGGGGAATTTTCCAGGTGCCGCCACAGCCAGGCAGTCAAGGAACAACGACTCCGCGGGATGCCCCCTACCCCCCACCGGTCTCGTCGAGGCGAGGTGAGCCGTACGCCGGGGTGCCCGGCTCGGTCCCTGCTGTGCCGCGCGGCCGTGGCGGATGACGGTATCCGGGAACAGGGATCACCGGCATTGTCACCTGTCACCTTCCGCGCTGTGCCGGTTCTGTTAGGTTCCCAGGCAGTGCTGTGGACGGACTCGCACCGTGCTCCGGTGACTCACACCGCTCCCGGAGTCTTCTATAGAGGCACCCTGCCGGGCGTGGTACAGGGCCCCAGCGTAGTTACTCAGCCCCCCCAGCGAAGAAAAGCCTCCACGCGTCCCACCCCAAATGCGATCGTATCTTGTGAGCCAGCATTATTGTGTTTTATGAGGACATTTATTTCGAAATTGTTGCATTTTTTTCAGAATATTAATTTCAAGATTGTAGTGGTTGCCCAGTGGTGCCCCCCCCACAGCCCAGAAACACACTAAGGTGAATCAGAGTTACCAAATTGCCCATAGAGGTGCATCTGTGTGAATGTCGTGTGTGTGTCTGCCCTGCGATGAATTGATACCTTAGCCCTCGCTTGTTCCCTGTCTTGCACCTGTAGTTTTCAGGCTCTGGACCCCTGAGACACTGTGTAGGACAAGCAGGATGGATGGATGAATGAATGAATGAATCTCAATATTGTTGTGTTTTTTTCTGTAAAAGACATTGCAGTTTTCAGATTCTCTAAATTCTAGAAGCGGAAATTTCGCTTTCAGCGAGAATCCGCAACAGAGGCTCGTCAGACTTCTTTTCTAAAACCTTTTTCTTTTCTCTTTTTTTCTGTGTTTGGAGCCTCTGCATAAGTGAATTCCTCCCAGGTGGTGGCGTCATCCTAAAGAACTCGTTCAGCCCTGTCCCCTGCGTGACAGATGCATAATGACATTTTTGGTATACATTTCTGTGCCTCTGAATCATATGCCCTGACGGGAGGCGGCGGGAAACTGAAGGAGAATATTTTAGCCCTAAAAATGTAGGAGCAGGCAAGGAACTAAAAACCTACCCCCCCCCCCCCCCCCCCCCGTCGGGGTCAGCACTGTTCCTTAATCTCCCCCCAGTCAAACATCAAACCCCCCCCACCCCCCGACCCTCGCTATCCACTAGTTTGCTGTCCTCGGAGTAGGAGTTGACAGCTTCACAAGAAGATGCGACATTAGGTGGCCAGGAACAGAGGCACCCTCTGCAGACCTGATAGGGAAGAGAATTTAAACAGGAACATGTTCACTCTCACCGCGCATGTATGGTCTTCGAATTATCAGTATTTTTGTGAAGCTTTTTGAAATATTTTTAACATTCTGCAAATTTGATGTTCAGATGAATTTCAGTGGCAATGAACAGGTAAATTAAGCAGGGAGACCCACACACACACCAAAGTGTGGTGTGTAAATTTGCACATCAGATGTCATTTTTTTTCTTCTACATAACCCATCACCGGAGCCTCCCGGTGTGTCTCTGCTACCATGCTGTCTTCTGGAATGATTTGGCATACGGGGCTATCGATGCCGTCACGACCACTTAGAGACAAATGTTGGACATGACGAGTTTTGTTTGTTTATTACTTACCTTTCGATTAGCTGTCCCTTCAGGTTCAGCATAGCCTGGGTCAGATGATGTAACATCTTATTTAATGCCATCCGGGGGGGGGGGGGGGGGGACTGCTCAGCCTGGATGTGTGGGTGACTTGCCGGCAACCCCCACCCCGCCAAACTCCAGAAGCGGATACAGACTGATCCCCATCCGATGAACGAATCGCGGATCTGGAGAGGAGATCCCAAGGTCAGCTGATCGCGCTCATTTGCATCTGCACGCCCGTCTCTGTTTCAGGTAATTAAGTGCAAAATTCACCATTACATGCAGTACTGTCTGCTTCCCGTGGAGCGCGTCGTGTTTCAAGTCTGATGGAGACCCATTTTTCTTTGGAGGAGTACAGCATAAGATGATATCCATCCATCTTCACTGCTAACCATGGTCAGTATTTTTTTTTTGTCTTAATGTTTTTTTTAACTAAGTGGGGGATCCCAGGACCCTGATGAGGAGGTTCGATGGGGGTATATGTAAGGAATCGTGAAGAAAGACGCTAAATCTCCATCGATGGAATCATTGGGGTGTTCCACCCCGTGCATGAGCGTGAAGCCCAGCGTTTGGCTTCAGGAAGCCATCTCCACCTCCAAATACGAAAGCAGATTCCAAGGGAAAAAAAAATACATTGAAATCTGAATCGCAAAATGAGGTCGTCCCGATGCCGCAAAGCATTATGGGACAGGGGCACCTTGCCACGGAATTCCCCCCCCCCCCCCCCCCCCCCCCCCCCCCCC